AGTTGCAAAATTTGTTCCAGATTTACCGATGCCGAATGGAAAACTCTCAACTCCCTCTACTCCCTCAACCGCCGGGCTTTGGAGTCTCTGCAGTACTTCCACGCAGCGGACTTGGTTGTTGCGCGGCTCCCGCTGGGTTCAAAGATGTGGGACATCACCGAAGAAACCAGACGTCTACTCCTCGATGAACTTGTCAACGGTACGCATTTGACTCGCAACTTCCAGCGTTACCGCCAGGTCCTTGAACTCTACATCAAAATACAAGATAAAGCGTGAGGAAACATTTACATCAGGCGCTAGTGTCGGCAGGTACAGGTGCAGGTTAGGCTTACCAACTTCCGCACATAAACGTTTGCTGATTTGTGAGATAAGGGAAAAATGTATTCTAAATGTTCGATTATTCATAAAATACTTATAAGAAACCGCGCAACCGTGAACTACATCTTTTGTAACATACGCGCCTGCTTTGCGTTTCGTGAAGCCACGCAGCTGCCATGCACGTTGTGTGTATCGTTGGCGCAGTTCGTATTTTAGTTTCTGTAAGGAGGAGCTAGATGAGAGCGCGCCACTGTAATGATCCCCACCATATTATATGCGAGTTGGAAGGCCCTGGTTACGACGTGAATCATTACCAAGACTTCATACTATGTCGCATTTCGGTTATTTACGTGTCTTACAGCAGGCCAAAAAGTGAGGCTTTACGTTTCCGTGCATCGTAATGAAATCTCATACCAATTTGTGAACTTTGAAATGTTGTACCAACGTTTCTGATTTGTTATAAAAATACCTGACCAGCAGCAACAATGAACTCGATTACAATAATGAGAATGAAAATTACAATTATTAATGAAAAATCTAGATAACAGATCCATAAGATGTCAAAGTTACCCAACAAACTCTGATATGTAAGTAAGCCAACGTCACATCCTCATTATCCATGTTCATATTATTCGTATTTTTCCGGGAACATAATTTTTCATGTTCTTTATTATACCCTTCTCCCAATTTCTGAGATATCTTTTTGTTCAATTGCGCCATTGAATTGGGCTCCAGCGACGTGGGCATTTCTTTATTGATACTCTTACATCGTCAAGGAATTTCAATATGAAATTAAAACAAAGGTAAGGAAATGCGCCTCACGATGAAATAAAACGTATTACGACACACGGACAGAAATGTTATATTACTCGTAATTATTTCCAACCTATACTTCTAACGTCGCCTCGGCTGCAAACATCTCGCTCGTAATGTTTTGTCTTTATGTCGTAAATTACCATTTCTATCTCCTCCCTCATCGATGTCGCCAACGTTATCAATGACTTTAAGCACATCGTACCATACAGGGATCGACAGCAAATCGCATGCAGATCGCAGCACATGCGCTGAAGTTCTATTCCGCGCATGCGCAGATACCCAAACACGATGCGCAACTCTACTACGCATGCGCTGAATATCGATATTATTGTCTATTGCTGTCATTAATTACAAGTTAAAATATCATTACATATTATATTCCCCGTTTCATTACATACTGAATGATATAGAAATTCTGTATTGTGGTATTTATATTGTTTATGGAATTTATATCGTTTACAGGCGAGACAGTGACACTTCGAATGGTTTGGGAGGTGGAGTATGATTTGCTTCAAACCATTCGCGGTTACACGACGAGGTAAGTTAGAGCTTGTTTTGAGAATACAACTAAGCATTAATAACTACTTTACAAAACTATACACCAACGTAAATGAGGTATTTGTCTTCAATTTCAAAATAATAGTATTTTTGCTAGGTCGCCTAATTACTTTTATGCTATAAGAACCCATTCAATGGTTTTTATACTTTTATGTGTTTTCTGGAATAATTTTAAAAAAGAATAAATAGATTTCGTTGAAAGTGTTTTCGAAATTGAAGCATTTTGTAGGCGAACTTAAGAGATATGAAATAAAATTGGATTAAATACATTAATATTACCTTGACGAATTCTGACACCCTGTTGAACTTAATTTCATTTCAGTAATAATATTATTAAATATATTTGTCAATTGTCGCAAGGATGTTCCGATTGCTGTTTTATATTCATGAAAGGATTTCAAAATCACCACTTTGTTAACTTTCAAAACAACTTTACAAATTTAAAATAACATTAAAATGGCGTTTCTGAGATATAAATATTTGCCTCTATCTTCAGACCTTAAAGGAAACGCAAAAATATTCCAATTGCTCTTCCACTTAAACCGAAGGGCACTGTTGCCAGCAACTTCTTTGAGATGAGTTAAGCGCAGCTTCCGTATGTCTGCACGGGAGTTGAGCCAGCGCTTCGCCGGGCGAACGACCCCTCGCCTCCCCTGTCGACCGCGGCTCAAATCTTCCGCGAACGATAAAATGTGCACCCCGGTATATTCTACCTCAGGGGTGTCCAACTTGCAAGACCTCAAGGGCCACAACTATAACCTTTCATATGGTTGCGGTCCAAAATTTCATTACTAGGTTGATCAACACGTAGAACGTATTGTTGATCTCGTTTGCCCGGCTACTCTGAAACGGAAGGGGGGATAGAAACACGCGATATATCAGCCCTTACCATGCATTAAACAATTGGAAACACCTCGGGATCATTTTGAATATTTTTGAAAATTAACTAAACAATATATAAATCTCAACTTAACCTATTTTTACATCGTCAGAGCGCCCGCGTTAGGCACACGTTCTAGATTGACATGGAGGAATGGGACATTCACGTTTGATCAAAAACCTCTCGCGCGGTACAGTAATTGGCATCGCGGTCCGCCAGTTGCACAGTCCTGTTGAAGCTGGTCGATGGCAGGAGCTTCGCCCGGGGCGACGCGGTGCGCCGGGGGCTGGCGGCGGCCGTCAACGCGTCGCCCGCGTCGCCCGCCCCGCCCGTGGGCGTGGACGACATCCTCCCCAAGTTCCTGGACTCAGCGCGCCTGCTCCGCTCCGAGGGCGACTTCGGGGACGTGGCCGCCACCGACGCCTTCCTCACGGAGAGAGGTCGGCGCGCCAACGGACACGCACCGAGTGGTCGAGAGAATGGTTAACGATGCGAGAGAGAAAAGGGACGTGTAATTTTGCCTTCCTCTCGGAGAGAGGTCGGCGCGCCAACGGACACGCGCCCAGTG